TCAATCTCTTCACCATCCATCCTGATGCTTCCAATTGGTCCAGTGGTGAGAATCTTTGTCTTCTTGACATTGAGCCTCAATCCATATTGGAGGCTACAGTCCTTGACCCTCTGCAGCAAGTGCTTCAGTTCCTCCTCAGTTTCAGCAAGCATATCAGATAAGGGAGTAATATCCAGAATTTATAAAATACTTGAACACCACAACAAGTTAAAGGTAAATAATCCAATAGAAAAATGGGCACAGGATATGAACAGACACTTCACCAAAGAAGACTTTCAGATGGCTCACAAGCACATGAAGAAATGTTCAAAATCCCTACCTGTAAGAGAGATGCAAATCAAAACAATTATGAGATATCATCTCGCCCCAGTCAGAATAGCAAACAAAATTTGACAGAACAGCAAGCAACAAATGCTGGTGAGGTTGTGGAGAAACCGGAACCCTTATTCACTCTTGGTGGAAGCGTAAAATGGTGCAACCACTGTGGAAGGCAGTATGGCGCTTTCTCAAAAAGTTGCAAATAGAGATACCATTTGACCCAGCAATTCCACAACTGGAAATATACCCCAAAGAGACCATAACTGCCATCCAAGCGGATATATGCACACCCATGTTTATCGCGGCTTTGTTCGTAATAGCAAGGAGTTGGAAACAACCTAAGTGCCTATCAAAAAAACGAATGGAGAGAGAAGCTGTGGTGTATTCACACAATGGAATACTAGGATGCATTGAAAAACAAAGAACTCATGCAATATTATTCAAAATGGGTGACCCTGGAGGACATTATGCTGAGTGGAGTCTCTCAGTCACAAAAGGACAAATATTGCATAGTGCCACTGTTGTAAAACAGCACTGTCATCGGGGTTGGGGGGAGACTGAGAAAGATGGGTTCAATAATGTATACTGCATTGAAACAGATGAGGGAGAAAACTGTTTAAGAGCGATATGTGATTAGATATTATTGTCATGACAGGAGTCCAGAGCGAAGGCTGTGTAGTGGAGTGAACCTGGGGGAGGGATTATAAAACGATGGAAGAATTTTTCTTTTACTTTTCCAAGAGGGTAGTGTACTAGGGAGGAGGGTTGGGAGGGGAGAAAAGTGCAACAATGAATGAATGGAAACCCGAAGTCTCTGTAAATTTTCATTGAAATTAATAATAAATTTTAAAAAGGAAAAGAAAAAAAGAGCCTGCATATATATATGAAGGTCTCAAGTGATGAGCAGCAGGGCTTAGATATGATTGTCTTTGGGTAAGAAGGTTTAAGGGTAATTTTAATGGATTTTTTTGCATCAATTTTTTTTTTTCACATTGCTTTCCTTTTGAGCATATATTAATTTTATAATCATGAAAACTAGAAGTGTCTTTTTTTTTTAACTGGAAGAATTCTCTGTCCCTTTAATTGGTTTGTTTTGAGGTGACTTACCTCTCCTAGATAGGCTTGGGACGGGCAGGTGCAGTTCTCGGTGGGGAGTCTCAGCGACCATGAGGGCCATCCACATGCAACGCCTCGGCAACGCCTCTCAGGGTGCTGGGGGTCCCTGTTGCCCCTCAAAGCCCTGAGACTCTGGAAGATCTGGGATGGAGGATTCTGGCTCAGATGTCTCAGAAAGTGCATCTGGAGGGAGGTGATATTGAGGGCCTGGTCAGTCAGAATCCAGGTGACAGTCTCCGAGCAGGGTGGGGTGCTGAGAGAGCCCTGATAGGTGATGAAGCCAAAATGTTCGGGGAACAGAAGCTCTAGGCTCAGGTCTTGAAGAAAGTACGCATCATTCTTGTAGGAAATTCGAGTGATGGTGTCGCGGTTGAGGAGGCGGCTGAGGAAAGGATTCGAGCTGCCAGCCACATTGATAAAAAGGCTGAGAATGGCCAGGCCATTGGGGCCTCGGGAGGCAGCGCTGAGGTTCCCGTAGAGTTCCTGATTGAAGTGGATGAGTTGCACCTCAGCAGAAAAGCCCTGGTGGTTGATCTGGTGTTCAGAGCCAGCTCCATCGCGAGCTCCGAAAAGCAGCCATAGTTCGCTGAGTCTGTGGCTGTAGAGGAGGGAACCCCCAGACACGTTGACGCAGGCAGGAAGGAGACGTGGCGACCAGTGTTATACAGGGTTCCCCGGAGCTTCTCTCCCCCAGTGCTGAGCCTCAGAGGGGGCAGAAAGGGGTCATAAAGGACCGTCTTTAGCTCCACGTCCAACGGGCTCTGCCACTTGCCCACAGCACACAAGCTCCAGGCCCCAGAAAGGAGGCCCTGGGGGCAAGGGGTTCAGGAGGACAGGGAGTCAGAAATAGGGCAAAGATCCCAATGTTGGGACCTAGGGACAGAGAACTACGGTCTGGACTCCTGGGTTTAAGGGGAGGAGTTAAGGGCCTGGACTGCAAGGAAGGAAAAGGCTGGGGTCTAGAACCCTGGTCCTGAAAGAATTTGGAGCAGTTTACTAAAACCCAGATATGCCTCCGGCCTCTCGTCGGTCCACCCATCTTAAATTATGTCATTGGGGAAAAGTAGAAGTGTCATTTTTGAGTGCTACAATAAAAGAATGTTAAAAATGAAAAAAATTTAAAAGAATGTTAAAAAATGAAAGCATTAACAGACTTGTTGAAAATAGGAACACTGAAAAAACTGAGCAAAATGTTTAAATGATAGGAACAGACTACCTTGATTTTAACTGTTTTATTATGTGTGTGTCTTGAAAAATAGAAGTTAAACATGGAAAATTAACTTAGTTAAGATTGTGGGCAATTTTCTTTGATAGAATTTCTTTTTTGGTATGGTTTTTTTTTTATAAAAATTTATGGCAGTTTATTAACCCAGTTACTCAGGTATCTTATCAATGTTGAAAAATGAAATGACATGGTGGGGCAGTGGGAGTTTTAGCCTTCCATCAGTGAAAAACTTGAATTCATTCATATATTTAGCATCCAGACAAATTCCCTTCTACACAAAAATTATGGAGCCCCCAGTAATAGAGGCAGTTACCACATGAATATCAGAGACCTCAGTCTGTTCTATATTTTCAAAATCTTTCAGTAATTCAGTAAACACAATCCTCAGGCTGTGATTTGACCTTTATCTTATTCCTGGGTTTCAGAACCATGTGTGCTCAATACTGCATCTCCTTTGCTGATGTTGAAAAAGCTAATACCAACATTCAAGATTTTATCCATCTCACACCGATTGTAACAAGCTCCATTTTGAACCAAGTAACAGGTCGCAATCTTTTCTTCAAATGTGAACTCTTCCAGAAAACTGGTTCTTTTAAGGTAACAATCTGTTTTTACTATATCATGTATTTTCACACAAAAAAATCTTTTCATATATAAACTTCTCTGATACGCTTGACAATCCATTAATGTAAGTCTCAACTTTCTCATTGCCATTGAGAAGGAGAAGCTTTCTCCCACCGAGATTCTAGTGGATTCAAACCACCAGACGTGCGTGTTACTTTTGGATCACCAGCATAACTCTGTATGTATTATGCCATTATAGTTCACTGAGGTAGGCAGAAGTTTATAATACCTTTTTATAGTTATCCAAACAAGCCTAAAGGCATCGGAGTGACATCCACTATCGAAATGGCTTGCCTCTGGAAACTCTATGTATGAACAGTACTCAGGCCTTTCAGTCATAGGGTCACTATGAGTCGTCTGTGACTCGAAGGCACCTAACAACAATAACAACGATGACAGAGAGAGAGCTATGTTGGCCTAGTGGACAGAAAGTTATGCTACCAAGCCAAAGGTGGGTGATTTTAATCTGCAGCCCTCAGGCCGGGTTCAAATTGTTTTCCTGTCAAACATTCTTTTAGGTGGTATAGCACTCTGGTCTGTGCTTCGCTGTACAGAGGTAACTCGTGGTTGCTGTGATGCTGAACACTGTGACACTGATGTGCCAAACATGGTAATGGTTACCTATGGTGGACAGTGTTTGCTGGAGCTTCCCAAGTAAAACAAGCCTGGAAGCAGGAGCAGCATCCACTTCCGAAATGGCTTGCCTACAGAAACTCTATGTATGAACAGTGCTCAGGTCTTTCATTCATAGGGTCGCTATGAGTCATTTACAGCTCGATGGCACATAACAACAACTTAAAATATAGTTGATAAGCTATAATAGTTGAATAGCTAATAAGCCATTTTTGTAAAACCTGAAAATTCTTTATAATTAGGATGGGCATATAATTTACTACAAACTAGAGACTGAAAAGGGCTATGTTCTAATGTATAAATTGAGATAATACACTTCAGTGTGCATTGAACTGTGTAAACATGCCCTGTATTGATAAGACTTTAAAAATCTAAAACTAGCTAACCTTCTTAGGAAGTTTTACAGAATGTACCAATGGGTTTCTTATGCATAAAATCACAGCGTATTATGACTTGCCTCCAGAATCTTCTGACCTTAAAAATCATTTCCGATTGAGATTATACTTTTTTCTAACCCATTAAATGAGAACTTAAATCTGTTCTCTTTTGTCTTTGGCTTCTGCCATACCTTGTTGTTGTTGTCATGTGCCATCAAGTTGACCACAACTCATAGCAACCCTGTGAACAACCAAACAGCTCTGGACCTTGCCCTATCCTGAGCCAACCTCATTTTCTCTGACGCACTTGTCACTGTGTCAGTCCATCTCATCCAAAGATGCCTTCTCCTGCACTGACCCTCTACTCTTTCATTCATTCCATATTAAGCATTTATATTATGTACTAAGTATATCAGTCTATAATTGAATGAAAGATAGGTTGATCGATAAGTTAGTGAGCAACATCTTAAGAGAGATACAAACAAGATACAATGGGAAAGAAGAGAACCCTTATTTTATCTGAGTAAGGAGATCGAACTAGGTGATGTGTGATCCAAGTTTATGTTGTTATGTACCACTGAGTCAGAATTAACTCTTAATTGACCCTCCAGAGGGTTTTCTGAGGCAGTAAATTGCACAAGAGGACATTACCCATCCTTCTCCCGTGGAGCAGCTGCTCCACCCAATTGCTTTTGGGGTGGTAGCAAAACTCCTTACCACTAAGCCACAAGAGCTCCATCAAGTTTTATAGGATGAGTATTTTTTTAACTAGGTCAGGAAGTAGGGAAAGAACTATAAGTAGCGGAAAGGGATGTTATCTAACCTAGTGTGAGGAAACTGGAAGAATTTTAGAAGTCCTCTTAGCATAGCGTGTAAGGTATTGTGCTCCTTTAATGGTTTACGGTCTCAAAAACCCAACTAGCAGGCTGAGGACACACACTGTGGGGTCAGACTCATTGGCAGTGGCATAGTGTGTTGCACATTGTGCTATTAACTTAAAGGTTGGCCATTTGAATCCACCATGTGCTCTGTGAGAGAAAGGTAAGTAGTTTATTCTCATAAAAAGTTAGTCTTAGAAACCCAATGGAGAAGGGTCCCCATGAGTCAGAAGGAACTCAACAGGAGTGACTTCGGGGGGTTTTATTCTGTACAAGTGACAGAGTCAACAAATGCTTTTATAAATCTTTCAACTTGTAAAGAATTTGTGCATTCTCTTATAAAGACATTGGATGAGAATGAGCCTTGAGGTATATAATCAAGTGCGATTTGGTAACAAGAAATGAGTGACTCAGACAAGTGGAAGAAAATGCAGTTAAGAGATTTTTTTATTTTATTTGTTGTTGCACGTTTTCTCTCCCTTCCACCTCTCCCACCCCACCCTGAAATGCGCCCATTGTTCTGGATTATTGTCATACATATAATTCTTTTTTTTTAATTTTTTTAAAATTTTTTTTTTTGTGTGTGTGTGTGTGTACCATCAAATTGAATCTATCTGGTACAGGAGGAGATTGCTCCTCCTCCTCCAGCACAGCATCTGGTGGCTTCGGACCACATAACCTCTGGGATTGCAGGGCAGCTTCTTGCCATCGGAGCTCTCTCATGCATATAATTCTTAATCGTATATTTCTGTCAGACATTTATTTCCTTGTCTGTTCTAGTCCAGCGTTTATTATCTAACCAGTCTTTCTCCATTCTCTCCTCAAGCCCTCCCATGTCCCATTTTATAACAGCAGTGTTGTATACAGCACTTGTCCTTTTATGATTGAGAAATTTCAGTCAACATAATAATCTCCAAGCTTCCCCATGTTATATAATGCTTTATTAGTTGTTTTTCAGTGCTGTGGATTACTCTGTTGTGTGAATGTACCATAGTTTTTCTATCCATTCATTTGTTGATGGGCACTTGGGTTGCTTCCATCTTTTTGCTATCGTGGATAACACAGCAGTAAACATAGGTGTGCATTCATCTGTTTGGATGGCAGTTCCGGTTTCTTTATGTATACTCCCAACAGTGGTATTGCTGGGCTAAATGGTATTTCTATGTCCAGCTTTTTGAGAAAGTGCCAGACCGCCTTCCATAGTGGCTGTACCATTTTCCATTCCTACCAGCAGTGAATATAAAAAAACGTATTGTAGGGGAGCTCTGGTGGCCTAGTGGCAAGGAGCTGCAACTACAATCCCAGAGGCAAACGGTTCGAATCCACCAGATGCTCTGCGGGGGAAGGAGGGACAATCTCCTCCTGTACCAGGCAGATCTGATTTGACGGTACACGCACACAAAAATAATAAAATAAAATAAAAAACAAAACAAAACATATTGCGATGGGACAGTCTGCGGTTAGGGACCTCTCTAAAGTACTCAAGAGCAACGGTGTCTCTCTGGAGACTAAGGTGCGCCTGATGCAATCACTTGTTATGCATCAGAGAGTTGGACAATGACTACAGAGGATAGAAGGAGAATTGACACCTTTGAGCTGTGGTGCTGGAGAAGAGTATTGATGTACCATGGACTGCCAAGAAAACAAACAGATTCATCCTAGAGAGGGTTAAACCAGGCTACTCCTTGGAGGCAAGGATTCTGGGGCTTCGTCTGACAAACTTTGGACATGTTGTAAGGAGAGACCGACCGATCCTTGGAGAAGGACATCATGCTTGGTAAGGGGGAGGGACAGCGCAGGAGGGGAAG